ATGAATAAATGTAAATGTAAACTAATATTCATGGAGACCAGTAGGTGCATAAGGTAGGCTAAAGTCACAGGATAAAACTTGTCGCATCGTGTTATTAACACTGGGGACGCTGCTGTGTTGCTCCACCACTTTTTGAAAGCATTTGTTAAATAACTTGCAACCAGAAATATTAGATTAGATATATTAGACAGTTAATTTGCACTTATTTATTTATTTAACTTAAGCGAAAAAACAATCAAGCTACAAATTATGAAATGACCCCAGAACTGCGCACACCAGTCAGTCAGTAATAGACACAGTGGCCTTTTTGGCCAGGTTTCCCATTCTCTTAAATTTTTAGATTTTCAATTGTCACCTGCCACCTCAATTTTGTTTTTCCTTTTTACATAAATAAAACATTTCCACCATGAATTATTGCAGGTAAGGAAATTGGTGCAGAAAATGTCTCCAGAATGCAGGAAATTAAATGTTTAATACTCAAACCCCACAAGTTATCTATACAAACATGTAAGCTTAAACAGACCCCTCTCACACTGTCTCTGATAAACATGCTTGCGTATCCATCTCCTCTGTTTTACCCTGACCTGTTTGCATGCCTGAAAGTGAAATCTGGCAGGCAAAAAGCCTGAAGAAGGAGTCTAAGCATTGTCTATTGAAATAAATTAAAAACGTCCTTTTTATAGTGTGTTACACATTGACAAAAATCTTTTAATTTTTCTTATCCGTTTTTACCACCTCAAGCCCTAATTCTTGCAGTCAGTGAAAAACTCAATAATGCTTGCATCATTCCCAAAAACTTAACTTAATCGGATCTGATCAGTTATTAGTTCGTAAAAATCTCCCAATGTTTGGATCTGCATGTGGTATTTTAGTAATACACTTAAAAACTGTTTCTTTTACACCTCTCAAGGCTACAGAGGAAAAGGGTTTGAGTGTGACTTTGAGGATGCAGGAATGTGTGGATGGACGGACCAGTCCATAATACAGCATTGTACAGCTGGGAGAAACGTCAGAGAGGAGACACGCTGCCCGACAGCGGGCCATCTTCTGACTACACCACCGGGACAGCTACAGGTATTGTTTAATGCACCGTCACTATTTCCTTTGTTCCTAACCCTTTGTTGTTTTGTCCTCATGTTGTATATGCTACAAGTGTCAAGCGCTTTTTAGTTCAAATTAGGAATATATTACACACACATACAGTACATATATACAGCACCTAATTTAGACTGATGGTGCCATCAGTACAATAATATCAATGCATTTTAATGTTTAGTGTTTTATGTCAGGCATAGCATAATTGTTTACACGTCTAAAAAACAGTGAACTGAGGGCATGAAGTTCATTTTGAAGAGCTGTGTTTAAGTTCTTCTCTTCAAGAAAGTTCATATTGGAGTTAGTTTGAATTGCTTTAATTGCTCTCTTCTGCTTGCATTTTTCATGTTCTGTAGATTATTATTATTTTTTTATTATTTGTTTCTTTCTGTCTTATTTCTGCCAAATGTATTTGATTGCCATACTCAGATGTTTTTGCATGCATCGTAGTTGCATCCAGGTTCCTGCTGTGTTACAGGCTTAATGAAAAGTATTATAGTACATCTGGCCACACATTTACAATCGTGCTGACTATAGTGACCTAGTTGTCCTGTTTCAAAGATTCTCTATCTATTTTATGATGATGAAGAAAGGTCAAGGTGATATTTATTTTATCATTAGCTTCAGAGGTAATTATAGTGAATAAAACAGCAGAGAGACAATATTAATGTAGTTGGTACAAACATTTAGGACACTGTAACTTAATCATACATTAATCATGTATCAAAGTTGATAAGTTGTGGACCAAGCTGGGGAGAGTAAAAAGTTAAGATGCTTTTGCTACATAATGTCTTTACAATGACTGGAATAATAATTTGTTCCTGTTCTGTTCACTGAACAGTGCACATCCCAAATCCCAAACTAATATGAATGGAGAAAATATTTCTTACAAACAATTTTGAAAGATTTTCAGCTCTATCTGTCTAGCAACTAGCCCCCCTCCTCCTACAACCAAAGTGATACTATAAGTGAACACTAAAATTCAAGAGTGTTCATTTCTTTCATTCTTTAAATGGCAAAAGTTGGTCACTAAGGTTTTTGCAGAGGCTTCTAATGAAAGCATCATGTAAACATGAAATGTACTGATGAAGTATGTAATTAACAGATCATAATGTGATTTTCACAGCCAGCTTCAACAGACAATAATTTCTCTGCAGCTGTGGGTTCAACCACAATGATCTCCACCCGGCAGTTAAATTTGCATTCAGGTCAACATTTACAAGGTTTGGCTTGTCTTCCCAGCAATATAACATGTCAAAAAGAGAGCAGAGGGAGGGGGTGGTGTGAATTTATAATAGTATGGAGGAATGTTAGAAAAGCATCCTTGCTTATTTAAAAATAAT